GATGACCCAAGTTACTGTGTATACCACAGGTTCCTTGGCCAACATACCTCTAAGTGCTATATCCTTAAGGATAAGCTCCAGTCCCTTTACGACGCCGGAGTCCTAAAAAAGGAGAATGTGCAAAAGAAGGTGACTACAAACATGGTCACCTTGAGCTTAGGGACAGACCTCCCAGAAGTTCATGCACCAACGGGGGTGGCTCCTATCCCTAAGGTGGTACTGAAGATCACTAATGCCGATCCTCACAATCAGCGACAGAAAGGCCTAATGCCACAGATCTTATCATCAGGGAAAGTAATATGGGTCCACCCGAACCTCCTCAGTGATGATCAGTGGACTTTAGAGCCTTTGAGGAAGACCAAAGGTAAACCCTGTAATGCCATCTCAGCTATCACAGATGGTGATAAAGCAGGGGTAACCGCCCTCACCGACTCTGACGAAGAGGCTGCCGCTTTGGCCGCCAATAACTACCCTTCAAAGGCAGAGGATCCGGCAGGACCCTCTACGGGGCCACATGCGATAGCCTATCCAAATCCAGAAGGACCAAACTTGAGTAGTCAACCCTTTTGATTCAACGTGCTCGCACAGTTGAAAAATATTCCAGCCAGAATCACCATGTATGAACTCCTGCGGTTGTCCAAACCTACCCGGGAAGCTCTACAAGAGGCGCTAGCTGACTCAGAAGCTTTCGCTACGCACTTCTCACCCACGAAGGAGGAAGACGTGGGAAAGAAGTGTTTACAATGTGATCAGGCCACCGAACGGTAGATCCCTTGCATCACTTTCACCCCCGATGACATGCTGATCATAAGCACGTCCCATGATCGACCCTTGTACTTCAGGGGATACATCGGTTCCTCCAAAGTGGATCAGATCCAAGATGACCCGAGATCTGCGCTGAGCATTGTCCCCTTGAAACTTATCAAGCACCTGAGGGTACCCCAGAAACATCTTTCCGCGACAACCACGACCATCTTTGTCTTTAATGCTACTGGGACCCGGTCGCTCGGCAAGATCCGTCTTAAATGTCGTATAGGCGACATGAAGACGGAGGTGACCTGTTACGCCATCGACGATGAACCCTCCTACAACATGCTGTTGGGACGGCCATGGATCCACAACAACCGCATAGTCCCGTCCACATTACACCAATGCCTAAAGTGCATAGACGACTATGATCGGGTGAAACGATGGTTGTCGACAAGCAACCCTTCAAGGGAGTCGAGAACTACTTCACAGATTCCCTGCTCTACCAGAACCTCGATTTAGACGACCCGCTACCGACTGAAGAACCCAAAAGCGGTAATAAGGCTGATAGCGAACCCGAATACGACAACAGCCTTATCCTAAACGATTTCGAATCAATTGTAATCGGCTATGAAAGACATGATGTAACCGACGCTGATCAGGCAGACAGGATTATCCTGAATGAGAAGTTCGACTCTGTTTACTTGTCGTCTTGTCCGAAATGTGATGATGACAGGCCCGTTGATTCAATTTTGGGGTTGTACAATGACTCTTCCTTACACTTGCCTGTGTGCTCATTGTATATTACAAAAGAACAAATGATCGAGTCTTCACAAGTTGTGTTTGTCATGCCCGCTTAGGATAACTATCAGAAGGATATTATCTTTGGAAGGATCGATCACCCCTTGCGCGCTTTGTGGGATGAATCCGAAGAAGAGGAACCCGCACCCTAGTTTTCACAATGCAGTCAAATAGCAAAGCGCATGATGAGGGACATGGGCTACGACTTCACTCGTTAAGAAGGTCTGAACTACGACAAAGGATGGAAGACTGTCATCCGACCCACCTACGTGCCTAAAGGAAGGCCCTCAAACTACTTCAGCAAGACTCGAAGGGGCTCAGGCTACACTTCCTCCTCATCAGAGTTATGCTGTATTTTCGGCGAGGACTCTGATGACGCCCATTTAGATGATCGATCATCAACATCATCGGCATGGGACTTAGATGTCAGTGTGGGAGACTTGTTCAAAGATCTCACAGTCAACATGACTGCAACTGATCCTACTGAGATAGCGAAAGATGAACAGGTCCCGCTTTATGATGAAGCATGGGACCGCCACGTTAGTGCTCAATAGAGTGGTCTCTTCTAATAGTGTGAACTGCCCACAGAGGATAAGATACTTCAGATAGATGTGGGCGATGAGGCCAACCCTAAGCCCATATTCATCTGTGACAGTTTACCTTCCCAGGAGAAGGAGGACCTTATATCCTTCATATGAGAATATATTGACGTCTTCGTGTGGAATTACGAGGATATGCCCGTCCTTGATCCTCAGATCACCGTACATCACCTCAATATCAACCCAAACGCTAAGCCAGTCAAACAATAATAAAGACGGTTTTGTCCACAAATCATGGAGGCAATTGAAACCAAAGTGAAGAAGCTGATCAATTCTGTCTTCATCAGGGAGGAACAACACCCTGATTGGGTAGCCAATATCGTTTTGGTCCTGATGAAGAACGGCAAGATCCATATCTGCATCGACTTTAGAGACCTCAATGCCGCCTGTCCGAAGGACGAGTTTCCTCTGCCCATCACGGATGTCATCATCGACAACACGTGTGGGTTTAAGAGAATGTCTTTTATGGATGGATTCTCGGGATATAATCAAATCAAGATGCACCCCGAGGATGAAAAGTACACCTCATTCTGAACTCCAATAGGGGTGTAGTGCTACACAGTTATGCCTTTAGGACTCAAAAACACCGGTGCAACCTATCAATACGCCATGAGCATAATTTTTTGAGTGCTACGTGGATGATTTGGTAGTGAAGAGTCGTAGCAAAGATGACCACCTCCAGGACCTGAGAACGATGTTCGAACTCATGCGATCTCATTAACTGAAGATGAATCCTACGAAGTCATTCTTAGGAATGTCTAGCGGTAAATTCCTCAGATTCGTCATCATGACAATGGAAATTCATATTGACCCTGATAAAGTAAAAACCATCCAGGAGCTTCAGCCTCTTCGGAACCTCAAGAAACTAAGAGGACTCCAAGGACGATTGGCTTACATCCGGAGGTTCATCTTGAATCTTTTGGGAAAATGCCAACCCTTCTCCAAGCTGATGAAGAAAGGCGCCTTGTTTGCAAGGGACGAACCTTGCTAACGGACATTCGAGGAAATCAAAGCTTATCTCTCAAACCCCCTAGTCTTGGCAGCTTTAGTCTTAGGGAAACCATTCCTCATCTACGTGCGGGCCATGCAGCATTCCCTCGGTGCTCTTTTGACACAAAACGATGACGTCGGCCATGAGCAGGGCATCTATTACCTGAGTAGGACTCTGCAGGGGGCCGAGCGATGATACCCCATGGTTGAAAAGGAATGCCTAGCCTTGGTGTTCGCTATCCAGAAGATGTAACACTACCTGGTTGGCCAAACCATCCATGTCATTTCCCGGCTGAATCCTATCCGGGTCTTCATGACACAACCCGGAGCTTTAAATTGGCGCCTAGCTAGATGGGCGCTCTTGTTGTCTCAATACAACATCCACTTCATGTCGCAGAAGTCGATCAAAGGACAAGCCATCTGTGATCTCATGGCCAATCATCCACTAGAGACGAGAACCGACTTATTTGAAAACATTCTGGATGAGTCCCCTGAGGCCAACACGACCTCTCCTACGGAGGTTTGGTAGTTGTTCTTTGACGGAGCATCTCGTGTCGGCATGAGCGAGTCCATCATTGCAGGAGTGGGGGTGGCCTTGATTTCCCCACACAACCACGTGTTACCCCGGGCATTTTCTTTAACAGAGCCGTGTACCAATAACGTGGCTGAGTACAATGCACTGGTCATTGGACTCGAACTAGCTAAAGAGTTAGAGATAAAGCATCTTGAGGCTTATGGTAACTCTCAACTCATCGTCAGATAGATGATGGGGGAATACGAGGTTAGAAATGACGATCTGATCCCGCTTCACCAGGCAACTATCAAACTAGCTAAATCATTCAAAAGCTTTCGTATTAAGCATGTGCTTCATTCTAAGAATATGCACACAGACGCCCTGGCATCCTTAGCAGCTAACCTGACCCAGCCACTAGGGATGACTCAACGTGTCACTGTCGCGAGCCGACGACTCTTTCGGTCAGAGGATATTCTTGAAGTAAACACTACTCACCAGGTTTCGGATCAACTTGACCCAAAAGATTAGCGTCTCCCGATTATCGACTACATTTTATACGGTATACTACCCGAAGATGCTAAGGAGCGGGAGTCTGTCCGCCGGCGTGCCATAAGGTTTTATTACGACTCAACCACAAAGGCATTGTATCATAGGTCGTATGATGGCATGCTGCTTCGATGTCTTTCAAAGATAGAAGCACAGGAAGCTCTACGTGAAGCCTATGATAGCACTTGTGGGGCCCACTAACTTGGACCTAAGCTCTGGGATCGCATGCGAATAATAGGCTACTATTATCCTGGGATGGTCAGCGATACAGTTGCTTACGCTAAACGCTACCACGCGTGCTAAATCCATGCCAATTACATACACCGGCCACCTAAAGACCTGCATACGATAGCGACTTCATGCCGTTCAAGGTATGGGGGATGGATATCGTCGGGTCAATATCTCCGCCATCAGCAAGAGGTTATCGCTTCATCCTTGCGATTACCGACTACTTCTCCAAATAGGCCGAAGTCGTTCCCTTAAGAGAATTCAAGACCAATGATGTGATCAGATTCATCAAATATCACGTCATATACCAGTACGACGTGCCCATACGTATCATCCATGACAATGACACATAATTTGTCAGTCATGTGTTTACCCGGTTCTGCGACGGGTTCAGGATACAGAACCTATCCTCCACAGCTTATAATCTCTCAGCTAACAATTTAGATGAGGCCTTCAACAAAATTATCGTTAATATTCTAACTAAGCTAACCTCCAATAGCAAGTGCGATTGGAATGAGAAGCTTGGTGAGAGCTTATGGGCGTATCGTACGACGGTCCGTACACTAATCGAAACCATGCCTTACTCATTGGTATACAACTACGAGGCTGTGCTGCCTCTAGAGGTACAGATCTCATCCCTTTGTGTCTCCCTCGTGACGGGAATGATGACTGAGGATAGCCATCAATGGCGTCTCGCAGAACTCGAAGCACTAGATGAGAAGTGGCTTGAAGCTCAGCAGCACATTGAGTTCTACCAAGCCCGAATAGCCAAGTCTTTCGAGAAGAAAGTCAAGCGCCGACCCTTCAAGGAAGGAGAGTTGGTCCTTGTTGTTCGACGACCGATGATTCTCAACTCCAAAAAGAAGGGTAAGTTCCAACCCAAATGGGAAGGATCGTTCGTGATAGGGATAGTCTATTCGAATGGAGCTTATCGCCTTGTCAAACCAAATAGCGATAAGATCATGATGCCTATCAATAGCAAATTCCTGAAGAAGTACTACCCTTAGTCCTCCTTCAACTCCCACTGGTGCACGAGTCTGAACTGCCCCCTTATCTTCTAACTGGTACACGAGGCTAAACTGTTCCTGCCTCATATACTCCGACATAGACACGAGTATGAGCTGCTTCTTACGGGAAACCCCCAGAGGATACTACATATAATATTCTTAGGGATAACCCAAACCCCCACTCGGTCAAACCTTCCTATAGTTAGGACCAAAGCCAACTATCAAGTTAATTTCCACCTTTGATAGTTATTTATCCATCAGTCTCATTCAACTGGACGATGGATCTCTTAAAACTATCAAGTTAACCATTGCCTCTGACAAAATGAACTTACCAAGCATCTCTAATAAGATGGTAAGCCCACAGAGTTGCTCAAATCACAACAAATAGTCCCGTCACGTTAACGTCTACACCTCTGACGATATCAACTTATCAATCCCCTCCCATAGGATGATAGGTCCTAATAATTGCTCCAATCACAACAAGATCCTATCATGTTAATTATCACCGTTGATAGCTAGCCCCATCATTCCCATGAATGACACTGCCCAAGTAGTAACCTACCATACGATGTGTTGGTATCCCGGTCGGTCGTCACACTCATATGTCCCTGAACAACCCGGCCTATTCCGAATGTTCTAATATTTTCTTAGAACAACCGACAGGTAGCAGCCCACCAAGTGACGGCTCCTACAACAATCAATCGTCACACTTCCGCATCCCTGAACGATTTGATTATCTTGACATCATCATTCCCGCAAATGATGGTGTTCATTAAGGGCGGCCTACCAGGCGATGTGCCCCATCGGCCCCCGAACAGTGACTTTCCAAACAGCGAATCGTTGTTAGGACCCTAATTTGGTCACGCACACAAGCGACCACTCTGGCTGGGCTATGTTGTTAACATTTAACAACTCAACCCCGCCTAAACTATGACGTGACGGTCGGAGTTAACCCGACCTTACATTCAAAGATGAGGCTCGCCACGCAGCGAGACTCAACATCAAAGACGAGGTTCGTCACAGCAAAGCTCGTCACCCACATTAAATCAGGTTGTAATGGCCACGAAGACCCAGTCAGCCACGTGGGCTAAATCTCAGGAGTCAGTTACGCCCACGATCCCACGATTGTAGCACGTCATTTATGTGCTAAAGCTCTATAAATAGCTGCAAGCAGCGATGATGAAGGTGGGGATTGGAGGCTAAGAGAAGTTCTAGCGCACAAGCCTAAGACCCGAACCTCGATTCTTGCAGCCTAAGCCATTATCAGAAGCTTTTACGATCTGTTTTTGATGGTCAACGAGAAGCAATCTCGACTCAAGCATCGAGTGAAACATCCTCTCACCACCTAGAACCTGAAAGTACCCTAATGCCACTAGGAAGGAACCCTAGAGGGGGGTGAATAGGGTTTATGCTAATCTAATCTGATTTTTGCCAAATAAACTTATTAACAAATATATCCTAGCAAGAATGATATATTACAAATATATGTGCAAGGATATACAAGTAACACAAGGGTGAAATAAACATAAATAAGATAAACAAGATAGTGGGCAATATAAAGAAAGAGCAATTGGCAATGGCGATATAAACAATAAGCATGAATATAAATGAACGCCAAAGACAAACGTAAACAAACAATATGATCACGGAGTTCGGTCCCCACGACCTACGTCTCCGCTCCTTACCTCGAGGAGATCTCCACTATCACAACCGGGTTTTCTACGCTCACTCGAATACATTTACACCTCACACTTTGGTTTTCTAGTTCACCAAAAACTTTACAATCCACACTCTTACAATCACACTTTACACCCTCTAAGTGTTGGTCTCTAGCCCGTGTCTCACTCAAATGTTAGGAATTATAACCTACCTCTAGGAATTACCACCTACCCTACTCCTCTTGGGACGGCCATGTCTCTCACCACACACTTCTCTCGGTGTACAAGTGTATTATAAAGTGTAACTCATAATTTAGCTCACAGTATAAATTTGTTCTCTACAATAGATGAGAACACAATTAAGCCCACACTCAAAATCACAAGCCCACAACCCCAAATAATACTATGTATGCAAATATAATAAGCTCAATAGGTTGTATGTGAATAATGAGTATAATTAAAATAAATCTAAACTCAAATAAGTTCTAGCTTATGGAAATAAAAATCAAACAAATAAATAGTTAGATAAAAGTTTAGAAAAACTTCTCTAGATGACAAGAGAGAGAGAGAGAGAGAGAGAGAGAGAGAGAGAGATGAATTGAAGCTCAAACACCAAAGGATGATCTCTTCTAGCTCTTGTAAAAATTACTTCACAAACTTGAAACTCAAAACTCAAACTTAAAACAAACACTAAACACCTTTTAAACTTGTTAAACCTCTTTTAAAACTTTTCTTAATTACTTCAGAATGTTAGAGGGCAAGAGGTATATAAACTTGTTAAACCTCTTTTAAAACTTTTCTTAATTACTTCAGAATGTTAGAGGGCAAGAGGTATATATAGGCTCATGAAACAACCCCAAAAAATTACTTCAGAATGTTAGAGGGCAAGAGGTATATATAGGCTCATGAAACAACCCCAAAAACCAGTAAAAAACCCAAGAAAAATCACAAAAAGACAAAATCTGGAAAACTAGCCGTTATAGACTAAAAAGAGGTCATCAGTTGACTGACTACAGTGTGTCGGTCGATTGATGAAGTCGACAGTTCCAGATTTGGCAGATTCTGGAATTTTACGTATCTCATTTTATAAAATCAATTAAAAATAGTAAATCAACTCCAAAAATCATGAAATTTTGAGGGAAGTTTCTAAACATGTAGATGAACATGTTAGAGAAAGAATTTCATGAATATCACTTCCCATTTAAGACAAATAAATTATTTAGTAAAATGGTTAAAAACTAAAAATCTAAAAATAGTACAAAACTAGCCGTTATGAGCTTATCAGTCGACTGATCAGTCGACCGATGACCTCATAAGTCGACTGATCAGTCGGCTGAAAAGAAACAAAGGCTTTTGATGATTCCAGATATTTTCATCAGTCGACTGATAAATTCCATTAGTCGACTGATAACACTGTATCAGCCTGATTGAAACAGAAAATCTGATTTTTAAAGTGCCTTTATAGCAAATAAATTCCAAAAAATATAAAATTTTGGGAAATTATTGTAAACATGTAAATGAACATGTTACAAAAAGAATTTTTGGAATTTTACTTCTCAATAGTGAAAACTCATCATTTTTTAAATATGTCTAAAAACATGAAAACTAAACATACATGTTTTTATCATTTGACATAAACACAATATTAAAACTTTATGAAATGTTTTTATAGACTTGATAAATTATGTATAAAATGATGTTGAAGTCTATAAACTAATAAAATAATATTTTATCAAAAACACCTATATTTTGATAAAATCACCATAAACTAATAAAATAATATTTTATCAAAAACACCTATATTTTGATAAAATCACCAAATACGTGTGTGTGAATAATATGAGCTTTCAAAAACACCTATATTTTGATAAAATCACCAAATACGTGTGTGTGAATAATATGAGCTTAAAGTATTAATACACAAGTATAAACCTATACTACAAACACTATAAGCTATATACCCAAGCTTGATTGTCTTCAATATAGCTCAACTTGGTAAATTTGCGGATGAAGCTTGAACTTGGATCTTGAATTGAATTGCATTGTTTCACTCCACTATTTGCACCAACCTCCCTTTGATATGATCGTTATGGCGCAATTTCATCCAACCTCCAATATATTGTTTGCCTAGCGAAGGTCAAGATGTTCTCATATCTTTTGATTTTGGACATCAGTCCACAACTCCTTTGGGAGTTTAATTTAAAGCATTTTGTTATACTCGCATTGCTTCCTCAACAGAAGCAAAGAATGGGGTAACCCTTTATCCAAATTCCCGCAAGTGAATAACATCACTAATGGTTATTCGTCTAACTCCGCTAAGCGTAAGTCTAGCTAACATTGCCATAAGACACATTCGCATGCTAAGACTCAAAGCGGCAACATTGGCTCTGGAAAGGGCCATCAACTTGAAACCACTGGTGATCTGTGAGAGTTCATATCTCTAAAGAGAGCTCGTCAATGTCAGCATCGTGTGACCCTCAGAGAAGTTGTTATGGCAGTTTAAAAGAATTGCCAATGCAAAGCTATTCTTGAAAAAGAATTGAATTTCAATCATCTCAGTTACAAATATGATCCTTTAGAGGCTAGGACCAAAAGACGATGACGTATCCGAAAGGGTAAACTCTAAGAATTCACAGTCAACACAACTAGTGTAATCTTTAGAGATGAGGAGGAAGATGTGGATAGTCCATCTGACCTCCTGGCATTGGAGCCATATTGCCAAAGACTGATGGTGTGCATCACCACACCAGATCAAGGCAGAGAGTAGTAATTCCCTTTGACTACTCCCTCCTCCAAACATGAATGTCGTGCGCTCCGCCACAAGTTGACCAGCCTGTTGCTAGTGATGCAAATTTTTCCATAGCGTCAAATGACACTCCTAGTACAAGTCAAGAACAACAATTGGCTATGGATAAGACGAAGCGAGAAGATCTTCTCCAACAAATGGAAGATCAAAGAAAAGCTTTAGA